AGGTACCCCCTCGCGTCACTCCTTGCCGCTTTGGGACGGTAGTATTTGTGCATTTTCTACACTTTCAGAAATTACGACAACAGATTCCGCCCCATCCCGTCAAAATATGACGCAAGGGGGGTACCTGATGCGTCAAAATTGGACGCAAAGGGACCTTTGAAAAACGTCAATATGTGAAGACTCGGGAGTGAGAATGGGTTGATGTGGAAGTCAGAGCGAAAATAATTAATTCTGTAGAAGGCGAACTCCAAACACAGCTGAAACTAAATCGCTGTCGTCTTTTTGAAACTTCTGATTTTCAAAATAAAATCCACGGGTATGCGTATGCTGCACGCTGCATGTTGCCATCTGCTTCCCAAACAGAATGATACACCTTACACCATTGGTGTAGAATTATATCCATACATTTATCAATATAACTGGGATTTCAACAAAAATTACTCTGCCTTTGGTGAATTATTTTGAAAATACGGATGTTGTGTTTCTTCCTTTTCCTGTTGGTGCGATATGTGATCTTTGTAGATCGACTTCGGCGCAGCTCTGGCGTCCAGTAAAAGTAGGATCAAATCTAATTTTTGCAGATCGCCATCCACTCACCACCGCCATGCGCTGCTGTGCAGAGCCAGTGTAAATACTCTCATTGATTACAATGGTTGTGTATTTGTGGTGTCGACCGGAGTGCAGCGGAACCACATCTAGTGTAAATTAGCAGTAAGGCTCATAAAAACATATTACCTTTAAACATCCAATTAAATTTTGTTAAGAGAGACTTGTGTCAAACCGGTTTGAAGGAGCAGCGTACTTCAATTTAATCTGGAAAGTGATGTTAAAAATGCCAGATCTATGAGAATGATAAAAGTTGTTTTGTTGAAGAAACATGAAATAGTATAGTGTGTATCTGTATGAATTGTTGTTCAAGAAGAAACTGATGTTTTTGTTTTGTTACTTGAAGATTATTATAATTTGAGTTTTTTTTTCTTTTTATAAAAGGGGCAGATATAAGTTTTTTTCTGCTGCCTTGCATTTTATTTCATTTGTTTGGTTTTTAAAAATACATCATCACATGGCACTAATTGAAAAGTGGCAAACATTAATTTTTGACAGTTCTACTGATGATTAACTGCACACAATATGAGTTTGCCAAACCCTACCAAACATTTAAAAACAGTAGTTGGAACAAATTTGCTTTGTTCGTTTTGAATAGGTAAATATATTCAAACAAGTACTGCACATGAACATAGACATATCTTTTGTTTCATTTCAGTAACTTTTGGACTTCTTTGGTAAAGGCCCTGTCACACTAGACAACTTATGCCAATTTATGAACAATTTAAAGACGTCTACATTGAAGATGGAATTTAAAAAATCAACAGGAAGCTTCTTTTCGGTGTGTACATAATGTAATTCAAACAAATTGATCAAATTTATAACTTTTATTAGCAATTTAGACATAAAAATGTTTCATAAGTTGGCATAAGTTGTCTAGTGTGTCAGGGCCTGTAAGACCTCATTATGTAATAACAACGCATTATGTAATAATGTAATAAAATCAGGCTTCAAAATGTAATAAACTCGCGCTAAAACCGCATTATGTAATAACTGACAGAGAATGTAATAAAAGTTTTTAACGCATTATGTAATAACATTATTACATTTTGTGGCAATTGTTACAAAATGTGGTGGTGTAATAATCTGTGCATTATGTAATAAACAATCAAAAACCAGTATTTCTGTTCATCCTAATCAATATACTTGTAATAACTGTCATGTTGCAAATACTACACAATTAAATCTTTATAGCTTTGGTCAATAAACACAACTTCTCATCTTTTATTTGCCTTTTCAGTGAAATTCTTGTGTATATGGATGTAAAGAGCAAGCTCACAGATTTTTTTTCATGTTTTATGGAATCTTTCAAAAACTTAGTTTCTAATTTATTCAACATGTCAGAGCCTGTAAGGACGTTAAAAAAACAATTATTAACATCAAATATCTACTTCCAACCCACTCTATTGCTAGAAACAAATTCTTCAACCCTCATTTCCATCTGATACAGAAGCCGACAGGCCCCCCGCCCCCCCCTCCCCACCCCCCGCATGTGATTAATACTTTTTTTTAATGAAAATTACACATTTTTTTAAGGTTCATTACACAGGTAAACATGTGAAGAGGTTGACATGCACAACTAACTTTTAGATATATTTTGGGAGTTGTCTACAAAGTAGAATAATTTCTGTAACAGGGATCAGGCAGTAAATCTGAAAACGCAAATAAAAGATGAGAAGTTCTGTGTTTATTGACCAAAGTTATAAAGATTTAATTATGTAGTATTTGCAACATGACAGTTATTACAAGTATATTGATTAGGATGAACAGAAATACTGGTTTTTGATTGTTTATTACATAATGCACCAAATTATTATACCACCACATTTTGTTACAATTGCCGCAAAATGTAATAACTATTACATAATGCGTTAAAGACTTTTATTACGTTTTGCGTCAATTATTACATAATTGAATAACAGAAAGCTAAGCTCCCTGTTTTGACTCGATATGGAATAAAACGCTCCCAATATCTACCTCGGCTAAAATCAACACCCGCAGAAGCGACCAGACGAGCGTCTAACAATTAGAATTTCAGTGTGTGGTGGGCCGAAAATAGCCGTTGCTTTTAGCATAAGGTGCTAATGAAAATATTAGCTCACCGTGTTTCTGTCATAGACAGGTTCTTTTTTCAGCTCCAGTCCCAAAGGTTACCCACAGCGGCCGAAGTAAGGACAGATCACAAACCCGGACACGATCAGCAGAGAAAGACAGGTCAGCTTTCTCAGACAAACCTTCCTTTCCCAATGCCCAGTGGTCGTCCGAAAAAGTCGATCGCTGCGGGCAAAACTCCGGTTCTTGGAGCCGCCTTTAGACAACGCCAAAAACTGTGGTGGCATGATTTACCAAGAACGCAGAAACACGTTGGAATAAATGCACAGAAAGTCTGTGTGTATGGTCGTCAAATGATTTAATCTGAGCAACAACAGGACAGAGGTCAACCAGCTAAGTCTGTCGTATTGTGGCTGGCCCGTCAGTGCAGCGCAGCCGATAATATAACATCAAGTGATATGCTTACAACTAGGGTTGGGCAATATTGGCAAAAAATTAATCACGATTAATTGTGGTATTTAGCCGATAACGATTAATTTGACAATTAATCCCCTGGAGTCCCTGGACACCCTTATGTCCTGGTCACATGACCAATTTAGTAGGAAAAATTTGCTCTTCATAAAAATCTGTTCCAAATTGTGTCAAAATTACAGACTTCAGGCTATAAATCAAATTTTAAACTGTGTTGATAGATAAATAAATTACAGAACTTTTTTAAAATGTTTATTATATTTTAAGCAGAGAAGAGACCGAGCAGACTGACTGGAGAAATCTTCAGTCAGTCTCCCTGGTGGCATTAATCGTATTAATCGTCAAGTGCCAAAAAATAATTAATGTTTTTCTGACGATTAATTGCACACGGTACAATTATGCCCAACCCTACTTACAACCAATCACATTTCGCCAACTGTGAACCATCTAACCAATGCCGAAACTAGTTAATCATAAGATATGATTACTGGAGAGTGTCAAGGTAGAACAGATATAAATAATTAGTCCATAACACGGTTTTAGCGTGAGTTTATTACATTTTGAAGCCTGATTATATGACATTATTACATAATGCGTTGTTATTACAAAATGAGGTCTTACAGGCCCTTAAGAAAGACAATTTGAAGTAGACCCAAAACTTCACATTCTCCTCTGTAGCACTTTATGACAACTGGGCCAAATCTCTCAACTACAATCTACAGAAATTTAACAATTCTCCTTGTGTTTACCTTTGGTGTCATGGCCAATCTTACTGGCTTCTTCTGGAGTCTGTGCTTCATCGAGGGCTTCGTTGATCTCCATCAGCTCCAACAGGAAGTCTGGATCAGCTTCAGCGTCGGTGCCCTCCTCCAGATGCATGCCCTGCAGCTCCAGCTGAAACACACGACGGAACTTCCTGCTCTTTTCAACGAACTCTCGGTTGTCAAGTAGTAAAGAATGATCAATCACGTGGTCAAAACTCGTAACACTTATAAAATACACTGTTCTTATGAAGATGAGGGTTTTAAACTCACCATGTAAAGACCACGACTCAAAGGCTTGAGCAGAGTTTCGTACGCTTTGTTAACAAGAGCAGACTGGCTTTCTGAATATTCCAGTTCTTTCTGTAAAAAAAAAAAAAAAACAGTTCAAAATGACAATCAGGCTTTTTATGATTTGTAATGAGCATGTCATTTTTTTTTTTTAAACAGCCAACTTTCTCTGTGTCCACAGATGAGTATTAAACTTTGACAAGTGGGAATAAATGCTGAGCCGTTTTACACCTCACCATTCCGATCATCATCCCTGTCAAACACCAAATCCTTTTAGATCCTCACAATTAGGAGCAGCAACTCTTTTTTTTTTCAAAGTGTGGCAGTTTGGGACCCTTTAAGGGATTTGAGTGTGACATTGACATGGCGTGTGTAAAAAAAGAAAAGGAGGCGGGGAGGAAAACATCTTGGAAATGGTTAGCAGATCTGAGTGCATTCTGCAGCTATCAGCTCTGTCAGTTCTAGTGAAAATCAATAGTCTCACGCTCTGGCCCACAGGCCTGCCGTGTGAAGCTATTTCTGTAATAACAACCAGTATAGTAGGTGGCTGTCTTGTAACCTTGTATAAGTAATGAGCTTTCTATATATGATTCCCCGAGGCAGGGGGAGGCCTAATTAATAAAAAATGACAAGAAGCGAGATAAATAAAACCGAATCCAGATTCTACTGTACTGCACCGGTTGTGTTTGAGAATTTGGGCTTTCCCTCCACATGTTCAGATTCTCATTTGACGTATTATGTCATTATAACAACATCCTGCAACGTGCCTTTTTTCAAGTACATGATCTAAAACAACCTGATAAAGAAAATGACGTCGCTGCTGCTCGGGTTAAACCTGAATCCTAGTATTTATACACACATTAAGCATTTCTGAAGACTAATATATGATAACAGCACTCCCCCTGGAGTAGCAGTGTCTCCTAGCAGGATAACAGTATAATGATCTGTAAAGAAAATCAAATGCAAATCAATCAGCAGTGAAATCTGTCGCCGCCTTCAATAGCTTTTATCGTCAAGCATTCATTGCATATGAGCTTGTGAAAAGATGGCAACATTTTGGTGAACGATCTCTTGGCCAACACACGAAATGCCACCTCTAAACCCCTAAAATAATAAATTGGGCTTTATATTCTGCCACCCAAGTCTAAGCAAGGAATAAACACTTATGGATCCGTGTTTACTCAAGCGGAGCAATCAATAGTCCTATTATGGAAGAAATTTCTGTGGCCACAAGTGAGCCAAGAGATTAAAGGAAATATATCCCTTATCTGTTATGAAGCTAGAATAGATGAGGGAATTAAAATGTGCTCAAACTTGTAAGGTTTAGCCGAAATATATATATA